ACACTGCCCAGGTATGGGAAACTCTCCACTCTCTCCACAACTGCCCCATCACCGATTGGGAGTTGTGGGGGTGGAGTGTCCGATGGTACAAAATACCCAGGCAGGTGCTTAATTTTGGGTGGGGTTGATGGTACGGCCCCACCTCTTGGTGGTAAGCTCCAGGTTCAGCAGCAGCACCTCCAACTCCTCCTCTGAGTGAGCAGCAATCACCAGATCATAGGCATACATAACGTGGTTGACCAATAGGGAGCCATCCCTTGACCATTTTCCCTGTACCAGATGGAAATTCCTCCGGTTCAGTCATGGAAAGCTTCTCGAACTACGTGGTCAAAGATCATGTAAAATAATGTGGGAGCCAGAGGACATCCCTGTCGCACTCCAAGGTGTACAGGGAATGGCTCTGACTCCCGGCCACGTAGTTTTACCCGGGCCCGCTCACCATCATGAAGGTCCTTAATGATCGTGAGCAGAGGGTCAGGGACTCCAAAAGCACGAAGAACAACCCAGAGCCCAGGCCTACTGATGGTATCATAGGCCTTGACCAGGTCAATAAAGCAGAGATGTAGGTCTTGCTGGAATTCCCTACACCTCTGCTGTAGCAGACAGACAGAAAATATGGCATCTGTGCAGGACCGCCCTTTCCTGAAACCGCATTGGGGCTCCGCAAGCCTCTCCTCAGCGTGCCTGGCAAGGCGAGTTTGAATAATCCTTGCCAGGACCTTTCCCGGCACACTGAGGAGTGAGATGCCCCTGTAGTTGTTACAGTCTGTGCAATCCCCCTTCTTAAAAAGGGGGACCACCAGGGCATCCTTCCAATCCTGCGGAACCCGTCCTGTGGTCCTGGCAGTCGTTATGATGTCATATAGGGCAGTCTGTGCACAAACGCCACCCTCCCTCAGCAGTTCACTTGGAAGATCGTCTCTGCCCGGTGCTTTCCCTGGTCTCAGACTCCGGATTGCCCTCAGTACCATGTGCAAAGATGGCATCTCAGCCAGCCACTCACAAGAAGGGTGGCTGCCTCTGACAATATTCAAGGCACCGCAGCCTCAGCAGGGTCATCCCCACCTTGTGCCACAATGTTTCCTTGGTTGACGGAATTTTCCTCCCCCCAAGATCTCACAAAAATGCTCTGTAAACCTGCAGATCAATTCCTGGGGGTCAGAGATTGGATCACCGTTCTTTCCCCTAATGATGGTAATAGGTGTGGCGCTGCAAGTTACTTTCTTGATGGAATTAAATAGAGATTTGTGAATGCGGGCTGAGGCAGTTTCCATCTCCTGAGCAAACCCAAGACAACCACCCATCCTTGCAGTGCCTCACGGCTCTCCGAACCTCCGAGCGAAGGCTGCGGTAAGCCTCCTCATTCTCTGACGTGGGATGCTGTAGACGATTAGAGTGGGCTTGTCGCTTTTTCTCAACTATCCTGAACACCTCCTCTGTCAGCCAGGGTCTCTGGGGAGGTCTGGACCACGTACCCAAAGCAGCCATTGCAGCTACATGAGTCACAGTCCTAAACCTCGCCCATTTACCCTCGACATCACAAGTAGTGGGGGACGATGCCAATCCCAGCCGCAAGCGATGATGAAATTCTCGCTTGCAACTTTCATCAGATAACTGAGACCAGGCCACTTTATGTTGGAATGGGGTCCTGGGTGTACACCCACCACCAGAGTGGAAGAATGGCAGGCGCATCTTACAGATGACTAGTCGATGATCAGTGGACAGATCAGCTCCACGGTCGGTCCTGGTGTCAAGGACATGGGCTCGCATCCGCTGGTCCGTCACTATGTAGTCCAGCAGATGTTCTTGCTTGGACCCTGAATGCATCCATGATGTTGTGTGGATGCGCCGATGCCGGAACAGCGTGTTGGTAATTACAACCCCATGGGCTGCACAGAAGTTTCGAAGCCTCCTTAAGTTATTGATCTGGCCCATACCTTCTGATCATTCCAACCCTAGTGTCTGCATCATGACCAATTCGGGCATTAAAGTCACCCAACAGGATGACTCTATCCCGAGCGCCCACTTTAGCTCGCACTTGGGAAAGGAGGTTATGGGTGTCTGACTCATCGGCTTTGTCTGCATCTCCACGGATGTTCATCTTAGGCGGGGGCACAAGGACCCACGACCACCATTCCTCGCCTCTTGTCGATGGGAAGGCGAGCCCAAAGTAGCCTGGGGCTTACAGCTTCCCACACCTCACCGCCACGCTCCAACGCTCCTTCGTTCTTTTGTTCAAAAGAAGAGCCACACCCTGTTGTTTGGCAGTCTGCTGCCCCGAGTAGAGGACTGTCCACCCCTCATGGTGGCAGGAGCCAGAGCCGGTCCACCGGACCTCCTGAATGCCGCAGAGATCCAGGCGGTACCGGTCCAGCTCCCGACAGAGGAGCGGCAGCCTCTCCTCCGCAACGAGAGTCCGAACACTTCGCGTGGCCACGCGAAGTGTCCTCCCGTTCCTGGAGGAAGCCAAGGGAACAGGAGCCGTCCGCTGGCTCCGCCTGATGGAGTTTGGTCACAAGGGGTCACGGCGGTGTTCCCACCGCGGTGTTTGGTTGATGAAGTGGCAGGTGGAGTGGTTACCAGCCCCTCGCACGCACCGATCTAGCTACACACATACACACAAAACCACTCACACGCACCCCACTCGCACACACCACACACTCGCACACACACCACGCACACACACCACGCACACACACACTCACACACACACCATGCACACACACACCACACACACTCACACACACTCACACACACACCACACACACTCACACACTCACACACACACACACACACTCACACACACACCACACACTCACACACACTCACACACACACTCACACACACACCACGCACACACACCACACTCGCACACACACACCACGCACACACCACACACACAAAGATACAAAGATCCCCCATATAGCCTGTAACAGACTGTAGGGGCAAGTGCTGTTAGCGAGCACCTATAAAGGCCGGAACGGTACACGAGGGGGTGGGTGGCCAGCACCACGCCCGACCGCCTTTGTCTCCCTAGTGGCGATGTTTACACACCGCACCAGGTACTCATTTGAGGCTGAGTCGACCTAGGGGAGGCCCGGGACCGGTTCAGATAATCGTCACTGGTGTTGGCCGTGAGCGGGAATCGAACCCGGGTCGCCAGGTTCATAGCGCAGCGCGCTAACCGCTACACTATCGCTCCCCACAACGCACACACACACTCACACACACACCACGCACACACACCACGCACACACACACGCCATGCACTCACACACACACCACACTCGCACACGCACACACCCCACTCACACACACACACCCCACACTCACTCACACACACCCCACACACCCTCCCCACACACACACACACTCACACCCCACTCACACACTCACACACACACCCCACACCACACACACACACCCCACACACTTATACACACTCACACCCCACACTCGCACGCACACACCACACACACACCCCACACACACACACCCCAAACTCACACACACACCCCACACACACACACACACCACACTCACACACCCCACGCACACACACTCACACACACCCCACACACACACCACACTCACACACCACACACACACACACAACACACTCTGCTATATATCCCACATTGCACCAGACTACAGTACACACACACTACAGTACACCACGTGCTACAGTACACCACGTGCTACAGTACCACACTACAGTACACCACGTGCTACAGTACACCACACTACAGTACACCACGTGCTCCAGTGCACCACGTGCTACAGTACACCACGTGCTACAGTACACCACAATCACACTCCCCCCCCACACACACTCACACACAACAACAACAACAACCGCCATTCGCCACTAAGTGGCGGTGACGTCACCACGACGCTTGTGCCAGGCTATGTGCACCCTGAGGCCACGTGAAGTGTCGAACGCCCGCTGGCAGGAGGTCACGGGGCAGACCCAGGTGCCACGGGTCGACTGACTGAGATGACTGGCTGATGCACCACCTGTGCCCCCTACTGTGCCAACCTGCTGTGCTTTAGCCACCCGGCGCTCCGCTCGTTGTTGTGAGCGTCGCTCCTCCGCCCTCCGTTGTTGTTGGAGGGCGACTGCCTCCAACTGCCCAGTAGCATCCTTCACGAGCCTCCTCCACAGAGGCCGATCTTGACACCGCTGGTACCAGTCATCGGCAAGTCCACTCAGCTCCACGTCCTCCTGTACCACATCACTCCATCTCTTCTCTAGACGGTGCCGCACCCGTTTAGCCCCCTCGATCCGGCCGAACAAAAGCTGTTTCGGCATGCGGTGGCTGGGCATGCGGGCTACATGACTCAGCCATCGCAGCCTTGCCTGCCGGAGGAGCTCACCAATGGGACCTTGCCCAGATCTTTGAAGGATTTGTGAGCTCCTCACAATCCAGCCTGCAGAGTGGGTGAGTGAGTGGGTGAGTGAGTAGGTGAGTGGGTGAGTGGGTGAGTGAGTGGGTGGGTGGGTGAGTGAGTGGGTGAGTGGGTGAGTGGGTGAGTGAGTGGGTGAGTGAGTGGGTGGGTGAGTGAGTGGGTGAGTGAGTAGGTGAGTGGGTGAGTGAGTGCGTGGAGTCAGTGCCATCAAGAAGGACCACCGCCCAAAAGGTCGCCCGCTAAGGGTTCACACCGCCGCTGCTGCTCAGCACGACTCACCATCCCCAGCGTCACATTGCCATCGTACACCGTCGCAGATCCACGCTCGTCCACGCTGGGTAACGCTGCTGCTGCTGCTGCGGTACCTCCACCACCTCCTCCACCACCACCACTGTCTCCACCACCACCTCCACCACCACCACCACCACCGTCTCCACCACCACCTCTACCACCTCCACCACCACCGCCTCCGCCGCTGTCTCCACCTCCACCACCGCCTCCACCGCCGTCTCCACCTCCACCACCGCCTCCACCGCCTCCACCACTGCCTCCACCGCCTCCTCCGCCTCTACCTCCGTTGCTCCACATCATCAGCTGCTGCTGCCCTCCTCCGCGTCCGCTCCCATTGGCCGGCGGCGCCTCTCCTCCTCCGAGCGTCGCCGCTCCGGTCGCCGCTCTGGTCGCCGCTCCGGTCGCCGCTCCGGTCGCCGCTGTCGCCGAAGCCGTCGCTCCGGTCGTCGCCGCCGGCGGCGGCCGTGGCGGCCGTGGCGGCATGGCGTAGCGCAGCCTCTTCCAGAAGGCCCCCGACGGCGCCGTGTCGGCGTCCGAGGGGCGCCAGCGGATGACCGGCAGCACGGCCAGGGCCCGCCGCAGGGCCGGGCCAGCCGCGGACGAGGAGGAGCCGCGGCCACGGCCGCGGCCGCGGCCGCCGTGTCCCAGGGGCAGGAACTGCAGCAACACGAGGCGGGTGTCGCCCGACGCCAACATGGCGTGCAGGCCGGCCTCCAGCTCGCAGCGGCTGGCGCCGCCGCAGCGAGCCGACGCGGCGTAGGCCGGGCTCAGCACCACGATGACGCGGCGGCTGCGGTCGATGGCGCCGATGATCTCCTCCACCATGGCTGTCGGGTGGTGGGGAGGGAGGGAGGGTGGTGGTGAGGGAGGGTGGTGTGTGTGGTGTGTGTAGTGGTGGTGGTGAGGGAGGGTGGTGGTGGTGGTGGTGATGGTGGTGGTGGTGGTGAAGGAGGGTGGTGGTGGTGGTGGTGGTAAGGGAGGATGGCGGTGGTGGTGGTAAGGGAGGATGGCGGTGGTGGTGTGTGGTGGTGGTGTGTGTGGTGATGGTGGTGAGGGATGGGTGGTGGTGGTGGTGTTGTGTGTGGTGGTGGTGGTGAGGGAGGGCGGTGGTGGTGGTGAGGGAGGGTGGTGGTGGTGAGGGAGGGTGGTGGTGGTGAGGGAGGGTGGTGGTAGTGGTGTGTGTAGTGGTGGTGGTGAGGGAGGGCGATGGTGGTGGTGGTGTGTGTGGTGGTGGTGGTGTTGTGGGTGGTGGTGGTGAGGGTGGTGAGGGTGGTGGTGGTGTGTGTGGTGATGGTGGTGAGGGAGGGTGGTGGTGGTGGTGTTGTGTGCGGTGCCGGACGGGCAACTCTGTCGTGGACAGTGCTGTGGGGGGAGGGCCAATTCCGATTGGCTCCTCCCCTCATGGCGTCTGTGTCCACCACAGTGGCTAAACGGGGGCTCTGGATGGGTGCGAGGGGCTGGTAACCCCTACACCTTCAAAAAATTACCACGAAACTACGACTTAAATATGTAACTAATAAGCTTGTGCCGGAGGCCCCGGGGGGACAGGCGTCTATGACGTCTCCTGGCCAAACCCCAATTGGCGGAGCCAGGAGACTGAATCTTTACCCTCGGGGCTCCTCCAGAAACAACGAAAAGCCACTTCGTTTGGCCACGTGGAATGTTCGAACGCTCACTGCGGAGGAGAGGCTGCCACTCCTCTGTCGGGAGCTGGACCGGTACCGCCTGGATCTCTGTGGCATTCAGGAGGTCCGGTGGACCGGTTCTGGCTCCTGCCACCATGAGGGGTGGACAGTCCTCTACTCGGGGCAGCAGACTGCCAAACAACAGGGTGTGGCTCTTCTTCTGAACAAAAGAATGAAGGGGGCGTGGGAGCGTGGCGGTGAGGTGCGGGAAGCTGTAAGCCCCAGGCTACTTTGGGCTCGCCTTCCCATCAATCGGAGGTGAGGATTGGTGGTCGTGGTTACTTATGCTCCTACCGAAGACGAACATCCGTGGAGGGATGCAGGCAAAGCCGATGAGTCAGATGCCTTCTATGACCTCCTGTCACAGGTGCTGGCTAAAGTGGCCCCTCGGGATAGAGTCATCATGTTGGGTGACTTCAATGCCCGAGTTGGTCATGATACTGGCACCTGATCTGGAGTGATTGGAGGGCATGGGCCGGATCAGCTCAATAACAACGGTAGGAGTCTGCTAGATTTTTGTGCAGCCCATGGGCTTGTAATTACCAACACGCTGTTCCGGCATCGGCGCATCCACACAACATCATGGATGCATGCCGGGTCCAAGCAAGAACATCTGCTGGACTACATAGTGACGGACCAGCGGATGCGAGCCCATGTCCTTGACACAAGGACCTACCATGGAGGCTGATCTGCCCTCTGACCATCGACTAGTCATCTGTAAGATGCGCCTGCCATTCTTCCACTCCGGTGGTGGGTGTACACCCAGGACCCCATTCCAACCAAAAGTGGCCTGGTCTCAGTTATCTGATGAAAGTTGCAAGCGAGAATTTCATCATCGTCTGCGGCTGGGGTTGGCATTGTCCCCCACTCCTCCTGATGTCGAGGGTAAATGGGCGAGGTTTAGGACTGTGACTCATGCAGCTGCAATGGCTGCTTTGGGTACACGGTCCAGACCTCCCCAGAGACCCTGGCTGACAGAGGAGGTGTTCAGGATTGTTGAGAAAAAACGACAGGCCCACTGTCATCGGCTACAGAATCCCACGTCAGAGAATGAGGAGGCTTACCGCAGCCTTCGCTCGGAGGTACGGAGAGCCGTGAGGCGCTGCAAGGATGGGTGGTGGTCGCGGGTTGCTGAGGAGATGGAGTCTGCCTCAGTGGCCCGCGATCACAAATCTATATTTAACTCCATCAAAAAAGTAACCTGCAGTGCCACACCTATTACCATCATTAGGGGAAAAAAACGGTGATCCAATCTCCGACCCCCAGGAACAGGTTTGCAGATTTGTTGAGTATTTCTGTGACGTCCTGGGGGAGGGAAAATCCCTCAGCCAGGAAAACATCGTGGCACAAAGTGAGGATGACCCTGCTGAGGCTGTGGTGCCTCAAATATTGGAAGAAGTCACCCCTGTGAGTGGCTGGCTGAGGTGCCATCTGTTGAGGAAGTACTGAAGGCGATCCGGAGTCTGAGACCAGGAAAGGCAGCGGGCAGAGATGATCTCTCAAGTGAAATGCTGAGGGAGGGTGGCGTTTGTGCACAGACTGCCCTATATGACATCATAACAACAGTCTGGACCACTGGACGGGTTCTGCAGGATTGGAAGGATGCCCTGGTGGTCCCCCTTTTTAAGAAGAGGGACCGCACCGACTGTAACAACTACAGGGGCATCTCACTCCTCAGTGTGCCGGGAAAGGTCCTGGCAAGGATTATTCAACATCGCCTTGCCAGGCACGCTGAGGAGAGGCTTGCGGAGCCCCAATGCGGTTTCAGGAAAGGGCGGTCCTGCACAGATGCCATATTTTCTGTCCGTCTGCAACAGCAGAGGTGTAGGGAATTCCAGCAAGACCTACATCTCTGCTTTATTGACCTGGTCAAGGCCTATGATACCATCAGTAGGCCTGGGCTCTGGGTTGTTCTTCGTGCTTTTGGAGTACCTGACCCTCTGCTCACGATCATTAAGGACCTTCATGATGGTGAGCAGGCCCGGGTAAAACTACGTGGCCGGGATTCAGAGCCATTCCCTGTACACCTTGGAGTGCGACAGGGATGTCCTCTGGCTCCCACATTATTTAACATCTATTTTGACCACGTAGTTCGTGAAGCCTTCAATAGCTGTACCGGGGGAATCTCCATATGGTACAGATATAATGGGAGGCTGATCGATGCCCAGGTATGGTCAAGGGATGGCTCCCTATTGGTCAACCATGTTATGTATGCCTATGATCTGGTGATTGCTGCTCATTCAGAGGAGGAGTTGGAGATGCTGCTGCTGAGACTGGAGCATGCCACTAAGAAGTGGGGCCTTACCATCAGCCCCACCAAAACTAAGCACCTGCCTGGGTATTTTGTACCATCGGACACTCCACCCCCACAACTCTCAATCGGTGATGGGACAGTTGTGGGGAGAGTGGAGAGTTTCCCATTCCTGGGCAGTGTGCTTATGACTGGCTCCAGTTTAACAGCAGAGGTCTCACTCCGAATCAGTCGAGCGGCAATTTCTTGTCATCGGTTGCGTAACGCTGTGTGGAAGCTACCTGGTCTGTCGCTCCGCATTAAGCTTCAGGTCTTCTCGGCCACGGTCATTCCCTCCCTTCTCTACGCTTGCGAAACGTGGACCCTCCTAATGGAACATCTTCACCGGTTTGAAACAGAGGCTGGCCTGCCAACGATCTATCATGGGTTTAACCTGCAGGCTGGATTGTGTGAGGAGCTCACAAATTCTTGAAAGATCTGGACACGGTCCCATCGGTGAGCTCCTTCGGCAGGCAAGGCTGCGATGACTGGGTCATGTAGCCCGCATGCCCAGCCACCGCATGCCAAAACAGCTTTTGTTCGGCCGGATCGAGGGGGCTAAGCGGGCGCGGCACGGGCTAGATAAGAGATGGAGTGATGTGGTACAGGAGGACGTGGAGCTGAGTGGACTTGCCAATGACTGGTACCAGCGGTGTCAAGATCGGCCTCTGTTGAGGAGGCTCGTGAAGGATGCTATTGGGCAGTTGGAGGCAGTCGCCCTCCAACAACAACGGAGGGCGGAGGAGCGACGCTCAGAACAACGAGCGGAGCGCCGGGTGGCTAAAGCACAGCAGGTTGGCACAGTAGGGGGCACAGGTGGTGCATCAGCCAGTCATCTCAGTCAGTCGACCCGTGGCACCTGGGTCTGCCCCGTGACCTCCTGCCAGCGGGCGTTCGACACTTCACGTGGCCTCAAAGTGCACATGGCCTGGCACAAGCGTCGTGGTGACGTCACCGCCACTTAGTGGTGAATGGCGGTTGTTGTTGTTGTTGTGTGGTGGTGTTGTGTGTGGTGGTGGTGGTGCTGTGTGTGGTGTGTGTGGGGTGTGTGGTGTGTGTGGTGGTGCTGGTGGTGTTGGTGGTGGTGTGTGTGGTGGTGGTGTTGGTGGTGGTGCTGTGTGGTGCTGTGTGTGGTGTTGTGTGTGGTGGTGGTGGTGGTGGTGTTGTGTGGTGGTGCTGTGTGGTGCTGTGTGTGGTGTTGTGTGTGGTGGTGCTGGTGGTGGTGTTGTGTGGTGGTGCTGTGTGGTGATGCTGTGTGGTGGTGATGGTGTTGGTGGTGCTGTGTGATGATGTTGTGTGGTGTGTGTGGTGGTGGTGCTGCTGCTGGTGTGTGTGGTGGTGGTGGTGGTGCTGGTGGTGGTGTTGGTGGTGGTGCTGTGTGGTGTGTGTGGTGGTGGTGGTGTTGGTGGTGCTGTGTGGTGGTGCTGTGTGGTGTGTGTGGTGGTGGTGGTGGTGTTGGTGGTGGTGCTGTGTGGTGCTGTGTGTGGTGTTGTGTGTGGTGGTAGTGGTGGTGGTGGTGGTGCTGTGTGGTGGTGGTGGTGGTGGTGCTGTGTGGTGGCGCTGTGTGGTGGCGCTGGTGGTGGTGTTGTGTGGTGATGCTGTGTGGTGGTGGTGTGTGTGTGGTGATGCTGTGTGGTGGTGATGGTGTTGGTGGTGCTGTGTGATGATGTTGTGTGGTGTGTGTGGTGGTGGTGCTGCTGCTGGTGTGTGTGGTGGTGGTGGTGGTGCTGGTGGTGGTGTTGGTGGTGGTGCTGTGTGGTGTGTGTGGTGGTGGTGGTGTTGGTGGTGCTGTGTGGTGGTGCTGTGTGGTGTGTGTGGTGGTGGTGGTGGTGTTGGTGGTGGTGCTGTGTGGTGCTGTGTGTGGTGTTGTGTGTGGTGGTAGTGGTGGTGGTGGTGGTGCTGTGTGGTGGTGGTGGTGCTGTGTGGTGGCGCTGTGTGGTGGCGCTGGTGGTGGTGTTGTGTGGTGATGCTGTGTGGTGGTGGTGTGTGTGGTGATGCTGTGTGGTGGTGGTGCTGTGTGTTGGTGGTGGTGTTGGTGGTGCTGTGTGGTGCTGTGTGGTGGTGGTGTGTGTGGTGATGCTGTGTGGTGGTGCTGGTGCTGTGTGGTGTGTGTGGTGGTGTTGGTGGTGGTGCTGTGTGATGCTGTGTGGTGGTGGTGTTGGTGCTGGTGCTGTGTGGTGTGTGTGGTGGTGTTGGTGTTGGTGGTGCTGTGTGGTGCTGTGTGGTGGTGATGGTGCTGTGTGGTGTGTGTGGCGGTGTTGGTGTTGGTGGTGTTGGTGGTGCTGTGTGGTGCTGTGTGATGCTGTGTGGTGGTGGTGGTGCTGTGTGGTGCTGTGTGATGCTGTGTGGTGGTGGTGGTGCTGTGTGGTGCTGTGTGATGCTGTGTGGTGGTGGTGTGTGTGGCCGTGTTGGTCGCTGTCTCTGTCTCTCCGCATGTGTCCCCCACCCCCGCCAGGCAGGATGTCTCTGTCCAGCAGGCAGAGCCGGTAGCCAAACTCCCCCTCCAGCACTTGGGGTAGCGTCTTCAGGGCAAACTCCTCCTCACCCGGGGACGGGCTCTCCGTGCAGAAGGACACATACGCATCATACTCCTTGCCGTCTGTGCGCAGCGGGGACACGCGGGGAGACACGGGGAGACACGGGGAGACACGGGGAGACGCGGGGAGACACGGGGAGACACGGGGAGACACGGGGAGACACGGGGAGACACGGGGAGACACGGGGAGACACGGGGAGACACGGGGAGACGCGGGGAGACGCGGGGAGACACGGGGAGACGCGGGGAGACACGGGGAGACACGGGGAGACACGGGGGGAGACGGGGAGACACGGGGAGACACGGGGAGACACGGGGAGACACGGGGAGACACGGGGAGACGCGGGGAGACGCGGGGAGACGCGGGGAGACACGGGGAGACACGGGGAGACACGGGGGGAGACGGGGAAACACGGGGAGACACGGGGAGACACGGGGACACGGGGAGACACGGGGAGACACGGGGAGACACGGGGAGACACGGGGACACCAGGCAGAATGGCAACAGCCCCATTAATCACTCACTCACTCACCCAATCACTTACTCACTCACTCACCCGCCCACCCACCCACCCACCCACTCACCCACCCACTCACCCACCCACTCACCCACTCACCCACCCACCCACCCACTCACTCACTCACCCACCCACCCACCCACTCACCCACTCACCCACCCAGCCACCCACCCACTCACTCACCCACCCACCCACTCACCCACCCACTCACTCACTCACCCACCCACTCACCCACCCACTCACTCACCCACCCACTCACCCACTCACCCACCCACCCACCCACTCACTCACCCACCCACTCACCCACTCACTCACCCACCCACCCACTCACCCACCCACCCACTCACCCACCCACCCACTCACCCACCCACCCACCCAACCACTCACCCACCCACCCACCATTGACAGCCCACCTGCTGTATTGTTGTTGCTGGAGTGGAGGTGGTGGTGGTGGTCGCGGTAAAACAGCAGTAGGTCAATGCGGCGAGCGTAGAGCAGGCCGGCCAGCAGCAGCAGCAGGGCCACGCAGCCCATTAGCGAGCCGGCCACAGCAGCGGTGTGGCTGGGGGCAGGCGGCTCTGCACGCACGGAGACACACGGAGACACACGGAGACACACAGACACTCAGACACTCACAGAGACACACGGAGACACACGGAGACAAACAGACACTCAGACACTCACAGAGACACACGGAGACACACGGAGACACACGGAGACACACAGACACTCAGACACTCACAGAGACACACAGAGACACACACGGAGACACACGGAGACACACACAGAGACACACGGAGACACACACAGAGACACACAGAGACACACACGGAGACACAGAGACTCACACAGAGACACACGGAGACACAGAGAGATACACTCAGAGACACACACAGAGATACACTCAGAGACACACACAGAGATACACTCAGAGACACACGGAGACACACAGACACTCACAGAGACACACGGAGACACACGGAGACACACAGACACTCAGACACTCACAGAGACACATGAGACACACGGAGACACACGGAGACACACACGGAGACACACACGGAGACTCACAGACACTCAGAGACACAGACACTCAGACACTCACAGAGACACACACAGAGACACACGGAGACACACGGAGACACACACAGAGACACACGGAGACACACACGGAGACACACACAGTGACACACAGAGACACACACAGTGACACACAGAGACACACACAGTGACACACAGAGACACACACAGACACACACAGACACACACAGTGACACACAGAGACACACACAGACACTCAGACACACACAGAGACACACACACAGACACACGGAGACACACACACAGACACACGGAGACACACAGACACTCAGACACTCACAGAGACACACGGAGACACACGGAGACACACGCAGACACATGGAGACACACACGGAGACACTCACAGAGACACACAGAGATACACACAGAGACACACTGAGACACTCAGAGACACTCACAGAGACACACACAGAGACACTCAGAGACACACACAGAGACACTCAGAGACACTCACAGAGACACACATAGAGACACACAGAGACACACACAGAGATACACACAGAGACACACACAGAGACACACAGAGACACACACAGAGACACACACAGAGATACACACAGAGATACGCACAGAGATACACACAGAGACACACGGAGACACACAGAGATACACACAGAGACAAACAGAGACACACACACAGATACACACAGAGACACACGGAGACACACACAGAGACACACAGAGACACACACAGAGACACACACAGAGATACACACAGAGATACACACAGAGACATAGAGACACACAGAGACACACGGAGACACACGGAGACACACGGAGACACACACAGAGACACACAGAGACACACAGAGACACACGGAGACACACGGAGACACACAGAGATACACACAGAGAAACAAAGAGAGACACACACAGAGACACACAGAGAGACACACAGAGAGACACACAGAGACACACAGAGACACAGAGACACACACACAGAGACACACACAGAGACACACAGAGACACACAGAGATACACAGAGATACACACAGAGACACAAAGAGAGACACACACAGAGACACACAGAGACGCACAGAGACACACAGAGAGACACACAGAGACACAGAGACACACAAAGACACACACAGAGATACACAGAGACACTCACAGAGACACACACAGAGACACACAGAGAGACACACACAGAGACACACAGAGATACACACAGAGAGAGACACACAGAGACACACAGAGATACACAGAGATACACACAGAGACACACACAGAGACACACAGAGATACACACACAGAGATACACACACAGAGATACACACAGAGAGAGACACACAGAGACACACAGAGAGACACACAGAGACAATCACAGAGAGACACACACAGTGACACACAGAGACACACACAGAGACACACAGAGACACACAGAGATACACACAGAGACAATCACAGAGAGACACACACAGTGACACACAGAGACACACACAGTGACACACAGAGACACACACAGAGACACACACAGAGACACACACAGAGACACACACAGAGACACTCACAGAGACACACACAGAGACACACAGAGATACACACACAGAGATACACACACAGAGATACACACAGAGACACACAGAGAGACACACAGAGACAATCACAGAGAGACACACACAGTGACACACAGAGACACACACAGAGACACACACAGAGATACACACAGAGATACACACAGAGACATAGAGACACACAGAGACACACGGAGACACACGGAGACACACACAGAGACACACAGAGACACACAGAGACACACGGAGACACACGGAGACACACAGAGATACACACAGAGAAACAAAGAGAGACACACACAGAGACACACAGAGACACACAGAGAGACACACAGAGACACACACACAGAGACACACACACAGAGACACACACAGAGACACACAGAGACACACAGAGATACACAGAGATACACACAGAGACACAAAGAGAGACACACACAGAGACACACAGAGACGCACAGAGACACACAGAGAGACACACAGAGACACAGAGACACACAAAGACACACACAGAGATACACAGAGACACTCACAGAGACACACACAGAGACACACAGAGAGACACACACAGAGACACACAGAGATACACACAGAGAGAGACACACAGAGAGAGACACACAGAGATACACAGAGATACACACAGAGACACACACAGAGACACACAGAGATACACACACAGAGATACACACACAGAGATACACACACAGAGACACACAGAGAGACACACAGAGACAATCACAGAGAGACACACACAGTGACACACAGATACACACACAGAGACACACAGAGACACACAGAGATACACACAGAGACAATCACAGAGAGACACACACAGTGACACACAGAGACACACACAGTGACACACAGAGACACACACAGAGACACACACAGAGACACACACAGAGACACTCACAGAGACACACACAGAGACACACAGAGATACACACACAGAGATACACACACAGAGATACACACAGAGACACACAGAGAGACACACAGAGACAATCACAGAGAGACACACACAGTGACACACAGAGACACACACAGAGACACACACAGTGACACACACAGAGACACACACAGAGACACACAGACACACACAGAGACACACACAGAGACACACACAGAGACACACAGACACACACAGAGATACACACAGAGACAATCACAGAGAGACGCACACAGAGACACACACAGAGACACACACAGTGACACAGAGACACACACAGAGACACACAGACACACACAGAGACACACACAGAGACACACACAGTGACACACAGAGACACACACAGAGACACACAGAGACACACAGAGACACAGAGACACAGAGACACACACAGTGACACACACAGAGACACACAGAGACACACCGACACACACAGAGACACACAGAGACACACACAGAGACACAGAGACACACACAGAGACACACACAGAGACACACACAGAGACACACAGTGACACGCACAGAGACACACAGTGACACACACAGACACACACAGTGACACACACAGAGACACACAGACACACACAGAGACACAGAGACACACACAGAGACACAGCGACACACACAGAGACACACAGGCACACACAGAGACACACAGGCACACACAGAGACACACACAGTGACACACAGACACACACAGTGACACACACAGAGACACACAGGCACACACAGAGACACACACAGAAGGATGAGGAGGAGGATGTGATGGTGATGAGGTGAGTGGTGGTGATGGTGACGAGGTTAGTGGCGATGATGGTGACGAGGTGAGTGGTGGTGGTGGTGATGGTGACGTTGTAATGATGGTGACGAGGTTAGTGATGATGGTGACGAGGTGAGTGGTGATGGTGACGAGGTGAGTGGTGGTGATGGTTACGTTGTAATGATGGTGACGAGGTTAGTGATGATGGTGACGAGGTGAGTGGTGATGGTGACGAGGTGAGTGGTGGTGATGGTGACGTTGTAATGATGGTGACGAGGAGAGTGGTGATGGTGATGACGAGGTGAGTGGTGGTGATGGTGACGTGGTGATGATGGTGACGAGGTGAGTTGTGGTGATGATGGTGACGAGGTGAGTGGTGATGGTGGTGACGAGGTGGATGATGGTGATGATGGTGATGATGGTGACGAGGTGGATAATGGTGATGATAGTGACGAGGTGAGTGGTGGTGATGGTGACGAGGTGAGTGGTGGTGGTGGTGATGGTGACGTTGTAATGATGGTGACGAGGTGATGGTGGTGATGGTGACGAGGTAGGGGGTGGTGATGGTGAGGAGGTAGGGGGTGGTAGTAGTGACGAGGTGAGTGGTGGTGATGATGGTGAGGAGGTAGGGGGTGGTGATGGTGACGAGGTGAGTGGTGGTGATGGTGACGAGGTGAGTGGTGGTGGTGGTGGTGATGGTGACGAGGTGAGTGGTGGTAGTAGTGACGAGGTGAGCGCTCACCCTTCCGCACGATGAACATGGACGAGCGTCCGAAGCCGAAGGCGTTCATGGCGATGCAGGTGAACTCGCGTCCCACGTGACGCGCAGTGACGCTCGTCAGCTCCAGGGGGCGCTCCACGTAACGCTCCCCATACGACTCGTTCACTACCCTGTGACACACACAGTGACACACACAGTGACACACACACAGTGACACACACAGTGACACACACACAGTGACACACACAGTGACACACACACACAGTGACACACACAGTGACGCTCGTCAGCTCCAGGGGGCGCTCCACGTAACGCTCCCCATACGACTCGTTCACTACCCTGTGAGTGTGTGAGTGACACACACAGTGACACACACACACAGTGACACACACAGTGACACACACAGTGACACACACAGTGTGACACACACAGTGACACACACAGTGACACACACACAGTGACGCGCAGTGACGCTCGTCAGCTCCAGGGGGCGCTCCACGTAACGCTCCCCATACGACTCGTTCACTACCCTGTGACACACACAGTGACACACACAGTGACACACACACAGTGACACACACAGTGACACACACACAGTGACACACACAGTGACACACACACACAGTGACACACACAGTGACGCTCGTCAGCTCCAGGGGGCGCTCCACGTAACGCTCCCCATACGACTCGTTCACTACCCTGTGAGTGTGTGAGTGACACACACAGTGACACACACACACAGTGACACACACAGTGACACACACACAGTGACACACACACAGTGACACACACAGTGACACACACACAGTGACACACACACAGTGACACACACAGTGACACACACACAGTGACACACACACAGTGACACACACAGTGACACACACACAGTGACACACACACAGTGACACACACAGAGACGCTCGTCAGCTCCAGGGGGCGCTCCACGTAACGCTCCCCATACGACTCGTTCACTACCCTGTGACACACAGAGTGACACACACAGTGACACACACAGTAACACACACACACAGTGACACACACAGTGACACACACACAGTGACACACACACAGTGTGACACACACACAGTGACACACACAGTGACACACACAGTGACACACACACAGTGACAAACACACAGTGACACACACAGTGACACACACACAGTGACACACACACAGTGACACACACACACACAGTGACACACACAGTGACACACACAGTGACACACACAGTGACGCTCGTCAGCTCCAGGGGGCGCTCCACGTAACGCTCCCCATACGACTCGTTCACTACCCTGTGACACACACAGTGTGACACACACAGTGACACACACACACAGTGACACACACACAGTGACACACACACACAGTGACACACACAGTGACACACACAGTGACACACAGTGACACACACAGTGACACACACACAGTGACACACACAGTGACACACACAGTGTGACACTCACACAGTGACACACACAGTGACACACACAGTGACACACACAGTGACGCTCGTCAGCTCCAGGGGGCGCTCCACGTAACGCTCCCCATACGACTCGTTCACTACCCTGTGTGTGAGTGACAGTGACACACACAGTGACACACACACAGTGACACACACAGTGACACACACACACACAGTGACACACACAGTGACACACACACAGTGACACACACAGAGACGCTCGTCAGCTCCAGGGGGCGCTCCACGTAACGCTCCCCATAAGACTCGTTCACTACCCTGTGTGTGAGTGACAGTGACACACACAGTGACACACACACAGTGACACACACAGTGACACACACACAGTGACACACACAGTGACACACACACAGTGACACACACAGTGACACACACACACACAGTGACACACACACAGTGACACACACAGTGACACACACAGTGACACACACAGTGACACACACACAGTGACACACACAGTGACGCTCGTCAGCTCCAGGGGGCGCTCCACGTAACGCTCCCCATACGACTCGTTCACTACCCTGTGTGACACACACAGTGACACACACACAGTGACACACACAGTGTGACACTCACACAGTGACACACACAGTGACACACACAGTGACACACACACAGTGACACACACAGTGACACACACAGTGTGACACACACACAGTGTGACACACACACACAGTGACACACACAGTGACACACACAGTGACACACACACACACACAGTGACACACACAGTGACGCTCGTCAGCTCCAGGGGGCGCTCCACGTAACGCTCCCCATACGACTCGTTCACTACCCTGTGTGACACACACAGTGACACACACACAGTGACACACACAGTGTGACACTCACACAGTGACACACACAGTGACACACACAGTGACACACACACAGTGACACACACAGTGACACACACAGTGTGACACACACACAGTGTGACACACACACACAGTGACACACACAGTGACACACACAGTGACACACACAGTGACACACACACAGTGACACACACAGTGACACACACACAGTGTCACACTCACACACAGTGACACACACAGTGACACACACACACAGTGACACACACACAGTGTGACACACAGTGACACACACAGTGACACACACAGTGACACACACAGAGACGCTCGTCAGCTCCAGGGGGCGCTCCACGTAACGCTCCCCATACGACTCGTTCACTACCCTGGGTGTGTGTGAGTGACAGTGACACACACAGTATGACACTCACACAGTGACACACACACACAGTGACACACACAGTGTGACACTCACACAGTGACACACACAGTGACACACACACACACAGTGACACACACAGTGTGACACTCACACAGTGACACACACAGTGATACACACACAGTGACACACACACACAGTGACACACACACACAGTGACACACACACACAGTGACACACACAGTGACGCTCGTCAGCTCCAGGGGGCGCTCCACGTAACGCTCCCCATAAGACTCGTTCACTACCCTGTGAGTGTGTGAGTGACACACACAGTGTGACACACACACACAGTGACACACACAGTGTGACACACACACACAGTGTCACACACACAGTGACACACACAGTGTGACACACACACACAGTGTCACACACAGTGACACACACAGTGACACACACACAGTGACACACACACAGTGACACACACACACAGTGACACACACAGTGACACACACAGTGACACACACACAGTGACACACACAGTGACACACACACACACAGTGACACACACAGTGACACACACGCAGTGACACACACACACAGTGACACACACACAGTGACACACACAGTGACACACACAGTGACACACACACAGTGACACACACAGTGACACACACACAGTGACACACACACACAGTGACACACACACAGTGACACACACAGTGACACACACACACAGTGACACACACACAGTGACACACACAGTGACACACACACACACACAGTGACACACACAGTGACACACACAGTGACGCTCGTCAGCTCCAGGGGGCGCTCCACGTAACGCTCCCCATACGACTCGTTCACTACCCTGTGTGTGACACACACAGTGACACACACAGTGACACACACAGTGACACACACACAGTGACACACACACAGTGACACACACAGTGACGCTCGTCAGCTCCAGGGGGCGCTCCACGTAACGCTCCCCATAAGACTCGTTCACTACCCTGTGAGTGTGTGAGTGACAGTGACACACACACAGTGTGACACACACACAGTGACACACACACAGTGCCACACACACAGTGACACACACAGTGTGACACACACAGTGTGACACACACAGAGACGCTCGTCAGCTCCAGGGGGCGCTCCACGTAACGCTCCCCATAAGACTCGTTCACTACCCTGGGTGTGAGTGACAGTGACACACACACAGTGTGACACTCACACAGTGACACACACACAGTGACACACACACAGTGACACACACACAGTGACACACACAGTGACACACACAGTGACACATGCACAGTGTGACACTCACACAGTGACACACACACACACAGTGACACACACACAGTGACACACACACACACACACAGTGACACACACACACAGTGACACACACACAGTGACACACACACACAGTGACACACACACACAGTGTACACACACACACAGTGTACACACACATACACAGTGACACACACAGTGACACACACACACTGACACACACACAGTGACACACACTGACACACACACACAGTGACACACACACACAGTGACACACACACAGTGACGCTCGTCAGCTCCAGGGGGCGCTCCACGTAACGCTCCCCATACGACTCGTTCACTACCCTGTGTGTGAGTGACAGTGACACACACACACACAGTAACACACACAGTGACACACACAGTGACACACACAGTGTGACACTCATACACACAGTGACACACACACAGTGTGACACTCACACAGTGACACACACACAGTGACACACACAGTGTGACACTCACACACACAGTGACACACACACAGTGTGACACTCACACAGTGACACACACACACAGTGACACACACAGTGTGACACTCACACACACAGTGACACACACACACAGTGTGACACTCACACAGTGACACACACACACAGTGACACACACAGTGTGACACTCACACACACAGTGTGACACACACACAGTGTGACACTCACACACACAGTGTGACACACACACAGTGACACACACACACACAGTGACACACACACACAGTGACACACACACAGTGACACACACAGTGTGACACTCACACAGTGACACACACAGTGACACACACACAGTGACACACACACACAGTGACACACACACAGTGACACACACAGTGACACACACACAGTGACACACACACAGTGACACACAGTGACACACACAGTGACACACACACACACAGTGACACACACAGTGACACACACAGTGACGCTCGTCAGCTCCAGGGGGCGCTCCACGTAACGCTCCCCATACGACTCGTTCACTACCCTGGGTGTGAGTGACACACACAGTGTGACACTCACACAGTGACACACACAGTGACACACACAGTGACACACACAGTGTGACACTCACACAGTGTGACACACACAGTGACACACACACACAGTGACACACACAGTGACACACACACAGTGACACACACACACAGTGACACACACA